TTATATAAAAATATTTTATTTATATAAAAATATTGCCTTAGCTATGAGAGCATAGTTTCTTTATTAATAATGTCAAAGATTGGTTCGAAATAGACTTTGTTAGCCTATACAGAGATATATTATAACTGTTCAGCAAACTCATTTCACGATATCTTTGCGATAAAATTAGATTTGAAAGGAAAGACTGACTTAAGTTGTAAAAATTTTTACAAAATAAATATATACTTAGTTCAACTATTAAGAGTAAAGTCTTCCAAACGGAATTAAATACAAATTGCAAACATTTTATTTGCGCTCAGGTCTTGGTCAATTAGCTAAAATGCTTTTTTGGATAATTTTTTGAGGGAATCTCCCACTCGAATGCTCCCATTTCGTAAGTTTGTGGGTCAAGCGTTCGGATAGGTCATCCATATGTGACGTTAGCTGCGCCCAGTTGGGCCCAAATTAGCTTTTAGGTCACCGTTAAAGACTGACCTTTTATCCATGAAACGGAAGTACGCAGGGTAAATGAAATTCCCTCGCGTGTTTGGCCAAGATAAGAGGACAGAAGACAAACTTTTGTATAGCTGTTGCCGTTGTCGTTGTCGTTGCTAAATTATAGCCATGGATACGTAGCTTTTGGCCAAGGTTGGATTACAATGACAATATGGGGCTAAAGCAACTGGCCACGCCCATCACCCGAGTTGGAGTTGCGTCTATGAGCTCACTTTTTGGAGCATTGTGTGTGGTTAATTCATGACGAAACATGCTCTTCCTCTTCCCCTATTAGCCCATTTTCCTATTTTCATTTTGGCCTGTTAAGGCGGCATTGCGATATTTGGCGACAATAACAACAACAACAATGTTGACAACGACAACAACTTTGCTAAGTTTTTTCTAATTGCTTTGCGCATTTGCTAATTTAGAGTTACAGTTGGAAAATTTACAGCTCTTATCACAGTGCAAATTTTCACAGAATTTGTAAACTTTGCATTTTTGTTATCGTTGTTGTTGTTGCYGTTGCTGTTGCACCTGCCGTGACTGAAAGTAATTTAAAATGTTTGTTGCTTGTAGCTGGTTGGCTGGCGCAGTATAATATAATTATTTATAAACGTTCAGCGCTAGCTTCGTTTCCCAGCTGAGCCGGTGGAAAACTATGCAAATATTCCGTAACTCTTTATGTGAAGGGCCCCCGAGGCGATAGACCCTTGGCACCTGTGCAAAGTTTTTCTCAAATACATATATTGCGATAAGCCAGTTAGATATGCACTACGAAAAAAGGCCGAAAGGTGATTGCCTTTCGAAACTAATCGAACGTAGAACTGGCAATAAAAAGCTGGAGGAGTAACTATGGGCATCAGCTCGCTTGCCAAATATTGATTGAATATTGGAGGTGAACAGAGGTAGAGATATATAAACATATTTTATCTAGAAATGGAAAGGCTAAAAATAGACAGCAGTCAATAAAATATATGATTATAAATTTCTCTAACTTTAGTATGCAATGATTTTTAAAGCTTTAGAAGTTTCTTCATTTCCTTGTAAGAAATAAGTTCATGTGAAAATTCTCTTTCTTTTTAAGCTACCTTCCACTTTCGCTTGTAAATTCTTTCATTCAGAGAATGCCAATATCATCATCAAATCTGTTATCGAGATATAATATAATTTTGTATACGTAATATTTCAGTCTATCTATTTAGAGTCTGTAAAGTAACCCGCATAAACTATATACCCGCTGACACAAAGCTCACAGAGTATAGATTCTTGCAGCGTTGGCCATGAGACGCGTTCTTCAGTTGATAGAGAAACAAGAAAAACAAGACAGAGTTGAGTTCAACGTTTTTTTTCCGGCTACAAAAAATTTGTTTATAAGCACGTCTGATCGTCTTATCATTGAGATTACGGGAAATATGTCGCAGAGTTATCTAAGTAATATGCAAATCTAAATCAAAGAGCGACAGGGAACATCAAATGTGTGTTTATGATACCATATTAAACGGAATCTTCCCAGTTGGCCGAACATCAGAAAGGAGGCCTTTGGGCCAAACTAACTCGGCCAAAAAACAGCGGGGCCACTCAACTTATATTTCAGCTTTGTCTTTTAACAAGCAGAGGAAGAGTGCCTTAGTGACCGACTAGAAGATGCCCAGTAGATTTTTGTGGTCCTTATTTCAAGGATGTATTATTATTAATTTTTATACGAAAATATAAACATATATAAATATCTATAAACATAAAGCTTAAATCTATAGCCATTAGATTTTCCTTTTCCTGTAATACAAAATTTCCATAAATTTATTATACCCTTTTCACACATTTTCAATGGTCATATGAAATTAAAATCATTTCGTTTTCAATGCACAATTTTTGTGAACCGGTTTAACTGTTAGACGTTCACGCTCACATATACATGCACACACATATAGATATAGATACATACATACTGCCGCATGCCGTTGAGGTATTTTATTTACCAAAAACTGAGTAAAAAGTAGGTGACGTTAAGCACCGTTAGCCCTGCCGCAGTCGAAGTCGACGTCGCTGTCGCCGTCGCAGCCAGGCCAACAACAATACTGTTGAAACTGGTTACAGTTTTTGCTTTTGTTTCACTCGTTTTGTTCGCTGCGCTTCTTCCAATGAATAAAACTATGACAAAATTATCAAGACCCGAAAAAAGAGAAAAAACGAAATTTGTCTGCGCTGCATAGGGAAAGAATGCTTTAAGTCTACCACGCCCACACCCATCTATACGACATGTAAACACGCACACATACACATACACACATAAGCATATGTATGCATGAAACGTTTGCGTTGAAATATTTACATAACCTGAGAGAGCGAAGAGAAGGTTAAAAAGCTTTGGTTGACTGGCTAAATACTCACAACAACAATAATAGCAACAACAACAACAACAACAGCAACAGCAAAACGCGTCACACTTGCGTGGCCAGCTTTTGTGCGAATGTGCGGAGCGAAAGAGAGAGGTCAGACGAAAGCTGCGGCACGCATGCAATGTATTGTCAGCTTGGGCGTCAGCTTCAGGGCCACATAAAATGAGAGGCGACTACAACTTGTTGAATGCAAATTTTTGAATACGCTCTCACGATCTTGTGTTCACGTTCTCTCTCTCTCTCTCCTCTTTCCCGCTCAAACTCTAACTCTAGCTGTATTTGTAGTTGCAGTTGTTATTGTAGTCCCTCTCATTTTGTGCAAGTTTCGTAATTAAGTGACCGGTATCATGGTATAGCTTCTATCTCTGGAGCATATTAGCTTTATTTGCTGCATTCTCTGCTTTATAATTGATATTTATGCAGCTATTTAAGTGCGCTGCGAAATGAGTGGAGCAGAGTAGGAGAGAGAGGTGAAA